GGAAGCCCCTGTCCCGTTGTGGCAAGTGCCATCGCTTCATGAAGTACATACAGGTCAGCAGAACAGTCAAAACTACTGTGATATATGAAGAAAGCATGTTTGTTATTTTGAAAAGGGGCAGTGTCAAAGGTTAACAATGTATGTACCCAAATAGAAGACACCTTTTGCAAGTGTGGGAAGTGTTAGATATTAGGTTGTTGCCTCTTGCTAGCCTACAGAGCTGCCATGTATTGAGGCTCACTTGTAGCTCAGCTTGTAGAGCTGGCACCCCATGTACCAAGGCTGAGTCCATGCTGCAGCTGCAATGGGTCCGACCTGTGGCCCCTTGCTGCGTGTCATCTCCTCTCTCTTCCCTTAGCAGTCTATCTTCAGCTGTCTTATTAATAAAGGCTAAAAAACTAAAACAAAAGAGCTGCCATGTGTTGCACTGCCTTTTGCTCCTTTACGTTGCACTGGTTTTTATTGTTGAGTAGCTGAAAATGTTGTTTGATGGGGTAAAGGGATAGGAAATATCTTGACGTTCTGGCATATACTGGTTGAAAAGTAAACTTTAGAATCCAGCAACCAGGAAATCAATCATCAATGTTATTAACATCTTTCTTAGACATTATCACAATCACGTGCTTCTTTTGTCCACCCCCAGACACTTTGTGTAAGTGTTGTTACACACTGTTATTGCTCATACGTTTTAACTTTTAAATGATCAAGGTACCATTTATTTTCCTTTCTGGACCACGTCATGTCTGGCCTTCAAAGTTGAAAATGCTAAAGTAGACATGCTCCATTCATTACCATTTCTATCAGATGTCAGAGCCGCTCTTAAATTCATGAATGAATCATGAGGCTGTAAAGCTTGTGGTCCTTGTATCTGAATACATGTGTATGGTGGGAGTACTACTTAAGGTGAGGAACTCACATGTTTGGATTGCTCCATGTGCGCTGGGGATGTACGTGTGGTTGGTTTGGCATCATTACAGAGAATGTGCTTTAGTAACACTACATTTTCTTCATACATACAGTGGCTTCGGAAAGTAGATGGACCCATTCACTTTTACTACCCTTCATGGTGTTATAGATTAGATTTTTCATTTGCAGAATAAATTAAATTTTTTGGCCTGTCTACACAAAATAACCCATAATGCTTTTGCTGATTATCTCAAAATGCCAGATAATTGACTCAATTAATCGTTGTAAGTTGATTAATTAATTTATTAGGAAAAACTACCAGGTCTAGGTGCCTGCAAATGCATGCAAAGGGTTGATAAGAAGAGCGCAGGTGTCAGGCCTTCATTTGTTGTTTATGAGATGATATAGAATGGTAAAGAAACTGCTGTAGGTATGTAGGACTTAGTGGCATCTAGCGTTTTATTTTAAGATTGCAGCTCCCTCATTTCACCCCCTCCCCTTCTATGCCCAAATGAGAAACTGGCCACAGCTGGTATTGCTTTACAGGGTATTGAAAGTTCAGGTTATGGAGGGCTCCAGGTTTTGGTTCGTTAAGTTCCCTTAGTGAAATAAGCCATACATGGGTACAAGATTGTATTGTCAGCAATCGTCAGTGAAGACTTGATGTTGTTTCAACTGTTCAATCTATAGGATGCACTTAATTTGATCTTTACATATATTTGCAGGCCAAGCCCAGCCGGCTCCACTGTTCCCACTGTGATGAGACCTACAGTCTTCCCCAGAATGGAGCCATCAAGCTGTACAAAGAGCTCCGCTGTCCACTGGATGAGTTTGAGCTTGTGTTGTGGACATCTGGGGCCCGGGGCAAGAGCTACCCCCTGTGCCCCTACTGCTTCAGCAATCCGCCTTTCAGGGACATGAAGAAAGGTAGGGCTAAACCTGAACTTTAACTTATGGTAATTCTTGTAGTTGTTGGATTGTGGCTAATTACCTGGAGCTTTGTGGCTCTGACAGCAAATGTGAAACCAGCCCTAACACGAGTCAGTCATCTTTGTACAAGTTTGTTAGATGATGAATTATCGTGGAAAATGATGGCCTTTTTCAAAAACCTTTTTAAGGGCCTTTTATAGAAACCAAGCACATTTAAGTCCCGCCCACAATGGAGGGGAAAACAATTAAACTCCACTCTGACTCTATCTCTACCATTATAGTGTGCATTTTAATTTGTGTTATTATATCATTTCATCTCCTTCACTCAGGATTAGTGGAGGTCAGTACCAGGTTCAGTCCAGGAGCTGCGTAATTAGCTGCTGTCTTAGTAAATCAGACACTCAATAGATGCAGATTGTGGCCACAAACCAAACCACACAATTGCACATTTTCTTTATAAATCTGGCCCTTAGCCTTAGTCTTTATAGCCGTCTAACTCCTTCTTTTCATGTCTGCTTTTCCAAGGTATGGGATGCAATGAATGTACCCATCCGTCCTGTCAGCACTCTCTCAACTCTTTTGGTATTGGACAGTGTGTGGAGTGTGAAAGTGGTGTTTTGGTGCTGGATCCCACCTCTGGACCGAAGTGGAGGATGGCCTGTAACAAATGCAACGTGGTGGTGCACTTCTTTGAACATGCACACAGAGTTCAGGTAAGAAATAGTCCTACATCTTGTCCTAGGCACAAATATAATATTTTATATTTATGTAATACTTTTATATGACCATAACAGCAAAGACATGTAGCGTTTAAAAATCCAAATATCTGCAGGCATTCATTCCACACATATGATTCGAACCCGGGCCGCTGCAGCAACTCTGTATATGGGTCACCAGCTCTACCAACTGAGCTAACCGTGCGCCCACAAAAATGCTATAGGATTGTTCCATCTCTAGACATAGTGCCCTTCCGACCAAACCACATCTATCGAAACGTCTCACAAACATATAGTTTAATTTCTTAAATACAAATTACAACCACTCACTGTAGTTTTTATCAAATGTCGGTTTAACAGGGAAATGTGCATTTGCAGTGTGCTGTTAGTTTTCAGATTAATATCAGAATCAGAATGAGAAATACTTTGTTAATCCCAGGGGGAAATTACTTTCGTTACATATACTCCAGATATAATAGACATACAATATATTCATTTTGTAAAGGTTTTAAAATAAAATGTACAGTTTAAAGTCACACTTTCAAATGTGCAAAACGTGTAAAGTGACCATGTGAACAGTATCAATGTGTAAGGTGTCCATGTGTAAGTGTCCGTATGTACAGTGATTTGGATATCTCATAGCAAGCCACCAAAACGTCGGCCAAAGACGTCAACCTCATGGTGGGACTGCAGGAAATGTCAGGGGATCACCAAAGTCAGTAGGATTTATTCTGTGGGGACCATAAATGTGTGTTCGTCCAAAAAGAATGACTGTACAAAATTATTTCATGGCAGCTTCAGCTTTCAAAGGTACTTTTAAAACCGTGGAGTGATTTCATCTCAGCTCATTAGTCTCCCACCCTTGTATCTATGATGTCTTGTTTTTTTTTTTCCTGAAGTTTTATCACTTCATCTCTTACAGTTTCTCTTGATTCTTTACACTGCCTGTAAGGTTCCTCTCTCTTCCCTTAGGTTGCTCAGGAGAGCTGCGATGCCTGCGACGCCTCTCTCGTTGCGGTGGACTTCAACAAGACTCGCACTCCACTTCCTGCTGGCGAAACCCAACACACCGGCTGTGTTTTCTGTGATTCAATCTTCCAGGATCTGGTGGAGCTCAAACATGCAACCATGAGGCACGGCAGGGGTGGGGGTGCTAGACGAGGAGGACGGGGACGAGGGAGGGGACGCCGTGGCAATCCTAAAAAACCTAAAGACAAAATGGCTGCCTTGGCAGCTTACTTTGTATAGTGTCTGTGTGTAGTGCACCCTGTTAGTTGCTTGACACATAGTATAAACATGTATACTGTAGGTAAAGGGACTTCTGTTTTTACATGTGTGTTTAATGACACTGCAGTAAAATATGTATTTTTAAAAAATGTCTGCTGTAAGCCTGTTTGTTCCCCATCAAACATCAAAAAAGTTTTCGTTACTATATAATCACCTGAAAATAAGAATGATTGTGTTTTCGTAACCTTAGAATGAGCTGTTTGTATCTACAGATGGAGCGGGAGGTCTTCCATAGAGTCCGTCATGTTGAACCACCGTGTTTCTACAGTAACCAAGAACGGACAAACCAAACACTGGCTGTAGATAGGGTTTTGGGCGTTTTTAAACTGTTTTGCGGATCACCATAGTTTCTCCTACATGCTTGGAAGTGGAGGGTGAGGCGAGGGGGTTGTCATCTGCAACTACACCACTGTATGTCACTAAATCCTACACAAGGACCAGCATTTAAATTCTAGCGGGCACACTTCTCATCATGCTGACACATGTGCAGTTATTTATTCTAACATAAACTTATTATGCTATAGCATGACAGTCTGTCCCATTTGTACAAAGATACATGCATCATTTATCATGCAAACGTTTAGTAAGTTGGCGTTTAGCATGTTAGCAATACGTTTCATTTTCCATTTCCAGGACAAATACTGATGTTGAGTTTATGCTTTCATTTTCACTTCCATTTTCAAATTGACATTTTTCTATATAATTTGTAATTCTTTGTCAGAAGTAAAGCTGGAACAATGAGTCCATTACTCAAGTAGCCAATCCACAACTTTGACAACTGATTTATAATTTAAGTCAAGCTAATTCCAGCTTCTCAAATGTGAGGATGTGATGCATGTCTTTAAAAGGAATATTTTGGGTAATAAATTTGGTGAGTAAAAAAAGCCAGGCTTGACCTATCTCGATCTTTAGGAAATGATATTATAATTATAAAACAACTTCCTGACATTTCATTCACACATATATACATACTTGTATCAAGGAAACGATCAGCAGATTAATCAATAGTTGGACTAGGTTGCGGCCCTATCACAGAACACCTTTCCAGTTTGTTCTTTTTCTTGTAAGCTATTCATGGCGTTATAACTCTTTGTAGTAGAATATAATAATACTTTACCATTTCCGTCATTTCATTAAAAGTTGGTCTGGCCCTTTAAATCTGCAGCGGAAGAAGGAGGGAAGTGTGATGACGTAGAGGAGGGTGGTCCAATAGTGTGTTGAGCAAACCGCAGATTTATTAACGTTACGGATAGTACACTGTGATTGAATTATTACCATCAGTCGTTTTTACCATCAGTTCAACCAGCGCAGGTTTGTGTTTGTGTGCTTTATCAATGACTCTATTTTACTCTTTGTCTCGCTAAAGGGCGTGTTTCCCTCAGCTGTCGGTCTGTAGTGTGTGTAGGCGTAACGTTACTACGCCTAGAGACTGTTCAACTTAGCTAGCCTCAGGTAAGATGAAGAAACAGCCTTCCGCTTATATATTTTTTAACTAATGTAGCCAGCAATGACCCTAATGTATTAATTCGTCTTGCCGAGCGCATATAACGTTAACTTACGTTACATGACAGTGTAACATAAATGTTGCAACCGTGAGGAGGCTGCGGTCAATACCACGGAAGATAACTTTGAGCACACACTGTCACAACACGTTAAGCCATGCGAGTTTTACATGTTTGGGAAACCACAATAAAAAAACGCAAAACTGAAAAGTTGAGTAGCCATGTTGTGAACATTTGGTTGGTAACGTTAGTTCTATCCTTACAGCCTCAATAGCTGTGGCACACGCCTTTCCCTCTGATGTGGAAATAATACGTCGCTAATCTTTGTTCTTACTGTAGCTACATATTCGCTTTTGAATTTAGCTAACGTTGCGTTGTTAACAGTTACTGTAACGGCTAGCACTGTTTGTTTAGTAAGTTGTATTCATTGTTTTTTTCCAAGAAATGTGTTGAAAGCAGTAAGACTTAACTCAAACCTGCCACCCAGCACAGTGTTCACAAGTGTATGAGTGTAACTTAAAGCTACTATATTTTTAGCACAATAATGTCCACATTGGAATTTTCGTTATACTATTAAAAGTACTAGCAGAGTTAAGCACAAAGTGTTTGAGTTGTCACTGTAAAGGCTCTGCTACACTAAATGGAACAGAGCCTCAGTTAGTATCACTGGTAGCACCTGTGTCTACACTACTGTTTCATGTCAAAATGGCTGCTGTGGAAAAGGTCTATTAAGGCATGATGCATATGGGAAATAAAAAAAGTAGAATTTGTCATGTGTAGCCACATGTCCTGACCGTTTCTACAGCAGATTTCGTTTCCACCTTAAACGGGAAAATATCTGCGGTGCTGTTCCTTAACATACTAAATCTGGCCAGCCATGGGTTAATAAGAGGAGGCAGCCTCTTCTAGGTTAGATGATGATGGCTGCTTGCTGCTTGCCATTTCCCAAGACAAACATGAAATGATTATGATGTGGTATAAATGAGAAGGAAAAAACAATACTGGAATGTCTTGTGAGATACTAAGCAATATTTGGTCCTAGTCTGAAAATTATGAGTATATATATTTTTGATTTACTCTTATAAATTTCCAAAGGTCAGTCTCATAATTTCTATGTAGTAAGTCAAAGATAAAGTTTTGAGAACGTTAGTCAAAGTCATGACATGAGTAAGTGTAGTGTCTCAGTGACAGGTTATAACAATATTATTATAGTAATGGAATAATATTTATTTATGAGTGTGTGAGTTGTTATCAGGTGGGAATTCAAATCTTTGATGTGTACTGCATTAATTCTCCATCACAGTTCGCTGTTCACCTGAGAGCTTACTACAGCCAGAGTCAGCAGGATGGAGGAGGAGGAGGAGGCGAGGTGCTTCCTGGGGAGGTTTGTGGATGAGTTCCCAGCTGCTCTGGAGGAAGACAGTCCACTGCCTGTCAACCCTCTCAGCCGCAAAGTCTCGCAGGAGGAGCTGCATGGAGAGAGCCTGGAGCTGGGCCTGAGGCTGCTGGCTGCCAGGTACGACCAAGAGGGACAAGTACACAGAATGCATTGTACATTTTACTTTGGTAGGCCTTGAGAATAGACGAAAGTAAATGAAAAACCTGGTTCCCAAAATCACAGTAGTTGCACTCAGGGAAACCCAGTTTCTCTGAGTACATTTCTCTTGGGGAATGACAATTTCTCTGCCATTTTTAGGGGTAACCATGTTTTTAACTGGTAACTGAGGTAATTACACTGTCCTCAGATATTTCTTTTCGGTGCGAGAAGTAGTAGAGCGTGTCCCCCATGTACTAATGCTGAGTTCTTACTGCAATGAGAGGGAGAGGAAGAAGCTGGATAAGATCATCAGGTAGTCCAGCTCTGTCCTGGGCTGCCCTTTGGACTCAGTGAGGGAGGTGGGTGACGGGAGAGTCCTGGCTAAAGTGTCATCCATGCTGGACAATGAGTCCCACCCCCTGCACGGTGATCTGACAGAACTGAGGAGCAGCTTCAGTGACAGACTGCTTCACCCTCGATGTGTGAAGGAAAGATATAGAAGGTCTTTCCTTCCTGCTGCTGTTAGGCTCCACAACGAACACTCTTAATATGTGCAATAGTATTACACCACAAGGTGTAAAAACTTCAAAACACCAGTTTGACATCAGTCTGTGCAATGCTACTTTATTTCATTATTTATTTTTAGAAGCTACTCTTAGCTCTTGTTATCTCTTATTCTGCCCTTTCTGTATGTTGTTGCAAACTGCAATTTCCCCATCGCGGGACAAATAAAGGTTTTCTTATCTTATCTTATCTTATCAATGGCCCAGATTCGATTGCAACCAAGAGCCAATTTGCTGCATGTCCACCCCCCCCCCCCTTCATAAAAAAAAAAAAATTGTTCAATAAAAGCTTGGAAGCCCACAATAATACTAAAAAAAAAAAGATCATTCTATCCAAAGTCTGACTAAAACTGAAAGCAACGCAAAGAAGGCTGCAGAGGTTGGGATAAGTCTGTTTCTCCTGCTGAATATTTTTACTGTAACTAAATTCACACACTTTTGCACTGTGAGGAGGGGCTCTGCTCTGTCTGACTGGCTTCCAAAATGTAGTTTGGGGTAAGGAAGAATTCTGATTACTGCATTTACATGCAGATTTACAGTAGCCAGGTTACTATGGCGCATGTAAATACGTTTTCCGATTACCTGCACTTAAGTGCATGTACGTACACTGACTAGCGGTCTCCCTCTCCATAGGATGCTTAACTCCATGGATTTTTTATCTATGACAACTGCATTGATGGATTTATAAATATTCTGCAAAACACACACAAGAGTCCCAACCTATCGTGTTGTCATTTTCTGCTTGTGCACTGTTAGGCAAAATAAAATAATTCTCTAAGAAATTATGAAATTGGTGAGAAAATGTGTTTGGGAAAAATTGGGGTGGTCAATAATTCTTTAATAGCAAAAACTGTCCGTGTTGCAGCTTGTGAGAGAACAATTGACAACACTCTTTTTTCTTCATATTTTCACATATACATGATTTTCCAACTGAGCACTGTTCTCTAGAAGTGACACTGCTCCCTCTGTGGACTAAATTACTAATATTGTGTTAACATTGTAACTCTTTCTGAAACCATCCTCCTGTCATGTCTGAATAAAGTAGCAACGGACATTTACATGACATACATCTCTGCCAGAATGACAAAATGCCAGCACTTTAACAGATAAAGTCAGTATTGTACAAAAGCCTACCAGTTCCTCACAAGTATTCCATGTCTGAAAAGGGCTTTTGAATGTAGAGAAAACCGTGGTGGGTTTATTAATTTACTCCACAGTGTGTCTTGTGTGTATCTTACCGCAGCACATTACAGTCCAATGTTTAAATCACTGCAAAATGTACACACATGTCCACATGTGATAAACATATCTAAATGGAAGAATAGCTGCACAATTAAAAAGGTTTTTGTTTGTTTGTTTTCCCATCATAGAATTCTCACTAGCACTAAGGTGTGTAGTGTCAGTGTAGTTAATGCAGGAGTATCTGCCCATCTTTTGCATGTGTGGCTGCATTCCTCACATTCCTGACAGCTCTGCTCTTGCTCTGCTCTTGCCCTGCTCACCCAATATGCATGGTTAGCTTTACTGTTTGACACTCACACTGCAGCAGTGGACACAATAATAGATGCTGACACACTGTATAAAAGTGACAGCAGAAAAGTACCAAACAATAGCTGTAAAAGACTTAACCTGAAACATAACAACGGAGGCCAGGCCCAGTGGAAGAGCCAGGGGAACCTATTTTTTTCACAGATCATCTGTCTCATGTACTACTGTCAGGACACAGTGAAAATTTTAGTGGTATAAAAGTTACTGAATGCAGCTTTAAGTACAAAAAGTGTGTGTTGGATATATGTTACAGTCAGAAGAGGGTACAATGTGAATGTGGCAGCGAACTCAAGCTGCCTCAACTAGCCTGCAGGCCCCACCTGATTAATTCCAGATTAGTGCAGATGCTATTAGTAATTTGATCCATAATTCAAAAAACAATCAACTATACAGATACTGTAAATAATATAATTTAAACTAAATACTAAAAATTTTAAGCAAAATGCCAAAAGTGTGCTCTCTGTCGTAACTGTTTTAGATAATTTAATGTGTAATAATTTAGTTTTGTCAAATTGTTGGTTGGACAAAATGAACATCAAGCTCTTCTGACATGCATTTCCCTATTCTTAAATGAGTTCATCATAGATGGACCTTGTTTACCCTACAAACTGGCTGCTGTGAAAACGTTGTATTATTTGTTATTAGTTATACTGCGGACCTTTTCAGAATAGAATATGGAATATGTAACATTATGTGCTTTATTTATCTATTAAAGTTTTTGTCATTCAGAGAAGTAAATGACAAATGTGTCAGTTCCATAAACATTCCTCATGACTTAATTGGACAGGATGAGGTTGTTAGTGGAAGTAGAAGACAGGAATTCAGCTTCCTGTTTTATAATGGCAGATCTTGCACAAGCAATGAATGAGAAGATGTTAACTCAGTTGTTTTGCTTGTGTCCTGTTTGCAGAGATTAAATTTAAGCTGTTTTAAGTTTTTGTTTTTTTGTCTCTTTTGCCCCTCTCAGCAGTGGGAAATAAAGTGCTAAACCCTGCTCATAATAAGGCGAACAAAATATGCATCACTTTGTACTTTGGCAGCCTTTAAGTTAAGTATTTAACTGGTTATAAAACAGTCTCAATTTAATACTGATGCCTCTATATGACCTATGGAGTCTGGTCAGAACTTCTTGAAAGTTCTGAAAAGATGTCCCTTCTTAGTTGTTCTGCTGTAATGGAGAGCCTTAGAACAGCTAGTAGTGAACCTTTTAAACTTAGCTTAAGTTAGAATTGGAAAATAACAAATAAAAATTAAAATAAAATCATTGCCATGTGTTCTCTCTTCTCTGCTCATGTTTTTTTTTTTTTTTTTTAAGAAGTATGCCCTGTCAGGACAACTTCATATCCTGTCTGTAGAAACAGCATTGTTCTCCTGACTTCCTGTTTCCTAAACCCAGTCTTGTCTGCAACAGAAATGTAATTCTGTAAAGGAAAAGGAGTGACTGATGATCTCACAGATGGATGTGCATATACCAGCAGCACTCTTTAAATAACCAATGACCATGGTCACATTATATTTAACCCCTTTGACAAAATACACAACATGTATTTCTGCTTGTCTTTGTTGGTTCAGGAATGCTCCTGCAGGCCTCAGTGCTGTCCTGTGCCAAGCAGCACTGTCCCAGCTACTGCAGAATGACCTTTCACCTTTCCACTGCCTGCAGGAAGCTGAGGCTGACCACAAAGAGGAACAGAAAGTTGTCTGTAAGTATTTAACCTCATGCTCATTTTGGAGGCTGTAGCTTGTGATGCTGTTAAATTGTATTGTGTTATACTGAGGGGTCTGTATTTAGTCTGCTGTCATGAATGGAGGTCTGTTGTTGGTAGCACTAAATCTCCACTGCCACTTGGGTGGGTCCTCTGTGTTCACCAGCTAGTCTCTAACTGTGTCTGTCTGCTGTTTGGTGCTGCACAGGTAGTGTTCAGTGGCTTTATCAGAGCTTTGCCACTGAAAACAAATGCCAAACCATGAGAGTGGAGTCTGTCATGTATTGCAATGTATATACCAATAGGAAAAAGTAGTAAGAACCAAAAGACAGTGTGATTGATTTCCTGTTTATTTTATCTTACTAATAGTACTTGAGGCACTGGCAGTGCAACGTCTCTTCCTTAACAAGCTGATAAATGTGGCGCTTGCATGGCATCAAAACTTCCCAAAGCTCCCACCGGCTCCCTCTCGTTTCCTCCGCTGCTCTGTTCACGCCATCAAGAACACTAGGAGGAAGATGGAGGATAAGCACGTGGCCCTGGCTGAGTTCAACCAGCTCTTTGGGATCCAGGTACAAGACTTTCCCTGCAACACCTAACACTGAAACCAGATATCAAAACAACACCTTCAAGATTCAAAAAAATGTCAATAAACACTTATTTGACTTCTTTCTGTCTCTCTCTATACCATGGTCCAGGATGGAGTGGAGCGTGCTTACTACGCTGTGTTCGATGGCCATGGAGGGGTGGACGCTGCCACCTATGCCGCCACTCACCTCCATGTTGCTCTGAGTAAACAGGAGGCCCTGCAGAGTGACGCATCCACAGCCTTTAAAACTGCCTTCAAACATACAGATGACATGTTCAGAGGCAAAGCCAAGAGAGAGGTACTGATTATTTTAGTATTCTGCTTCAACATTTACACTTTGACTCCATTTCATGTTTGCATTAAGTCCAACCGACAAAGCTGATTGGCCAGCTGCTATGTGTTGCCATTCAGAGGTCCTACCACTGGAGTTTTGGGTTCTGGGAGTGCAGTGCTGAAACCCAGGTTGATAGATAACGTGTGTATGTTGTCAGCGTCTGCGGAGCGGCACTACAGGCGTGACGGTGTTGATCCAGGGTCAAGAGATGACTGTGGCCTGGCTTGGAGACTCTCAGGCATTACTGGTCAGAAAGGGACAGGCTGTAACACTCATGGACCCCCATAAACCAGACAGAGAGGTAGGGATATCACACTTACGCAAACACATACACACAGCTCTCTATGTCACCAGAAAGGAATTATTTTACTCACCCTGCACCACCATAGCAACAATTGTTCCATGTATATACAACACACCTCTAATGCGACCATCACATCAAATTCGTTTTTGATTTAGTGACCCATGAACTGTATGGCACCACCCTAGGGTCAAATAGTGCACACACATCTTAGGGGAAGATTACCATGAAGTTTAGTGCTCTGTGTGACAAGGTACCAGGTAAAGGCACATACATGTTAACAAAGTTACTGCACATGTTCAGATAAAATGAATGGTGGGAAAGGTGATCACATGGTAAAGATGTTCTCTTTTGTCCTCCACTGTCCAGGATGAGAAACAGAGAATTGAGGATCTTGGTGGCTGTATCACCTTCATGGGTTGCTGGCGTGTCAACGGAACCTATGCTGTATCCAGAGCTATAGGTAGGTCAATCACATTTGTGTGGAATCCCTCTTTTCACTGCCGTTAGCATTGGAATAAACTCAATTGTGCCTTTCTTTGAGGCTGTAGCAAGAAGGGCTTAAAAGGCATTCAACTATTGCAGTAAATGCATTAAGAGAAAGATTTACACTTACGTCTGACTATCAGAAGGAATCAGTAATTATATCAAATAACTGAATTTAACTTGCCACCACCCTTCGAAAAGGGAAACTTGAAAGCCAGTTAAATTAGTCTCAGCCTAACGGTTGCTGGAGTTCTTGACTTGTGTACAGTGACTGCAAAACAAAAACACATGAAGCAAAGGTCTTTAGAAAATGCAGGGTTTATTAAACTACTAAGTAATGAATGCATTTAATAAATGAATGAAATAACAAACACAGTGATGATTAATGAATGAATGAATGAATAAAGGCAGGGTTCCCCGATTAAGTAAACCTGGGTGTTAATTTAGTTTGAAACTCGACTGTTGGTATGGTAAACTGCATGTTATGATACTTGAAAGCATGGTTACCAGGCGCAAAGCGGAAAGGAAAAATGCTCCTTTTTCATTTCTGATCCCAGAAGTCGGTCCAGAGGTGTTCACACCACTTCCAGCAAACGTTTAACGTCAAGTCTATTTTGGAAATGGAGTCAACGATCGTATGTACAGTACATGCATACAGCCTATTAATGATCTAATTTACTGTTGTTGGGTTTGATATTTATTAATTGTGAATGCAAAAAAAACTTAATACTTAATTCTGCTTGATTCAAACTGTTATTTATGCTCTGCTAAGGTTGCAGCGGAATTGCGAATTTTGAGAAAGTGTTGTCCTGTATTGTCAAGAAAAACTCCTGGAAAAGTGGCTGAAAAAGGCCTGGAAAATGCTTTCTTTAAAAGAGTGGGATCCCTGAACAGTGAATACAGCGTTAGGCAATCAATACCAACTACCAATCAGCCTTATCTGTTAGTGTACATTTATGACTGTATGCTCTTGTGGTTGCATGTTTCACAATTGTTGAAAAACCTTTTAAATCCTATTTTATTGACTGTTCTGTTTTATACTGACTACTGAGTCTTCACTCCTCTTAACTGGCCAGCAGGGGTCGCAAGTGCTAGGCTAAAAACACTATTTACCTGGTCTGTTGCAGGCCACATTTTGGCCCTTGTTGTGGCTCAAAAACTGACATCCATAGAAAAGAGCATTCCATACCTGATATCTTATGATCCACCAAAGTTAGACACAATATTAAATAAATAAATCCCTGTTGTTGTAATCTTTGCTGCCATTTTGACTGGAAGACTCGGTTACAATACCATCATACTATTCTATGCATCATACTGTACAAAAACAACCACACTATATTCAAAACTCTGCATATGTGCACTGGTTGCATCTGGTATTTGTGGTAGTTGCTTCACCATATTTTAGCTGACAGAGATCTGCACTCAACTGAGTGGTAAATGGTAAATGGACCTGTACTTGTACAGCGCCTTTCTAGTCTTCCGACCACTCAAAGCACTTTTACACTACGTGCCACATTCACCCTTTCACACACATTCACTCAGTGATGGCAAAGTCCATCGAACAGAAACTAACATTCATACACATTTACACACCGATGCACGGCATCAGGAGCAATTATCTTGCTCAAGGATACTTCGACATGTGGCACCAGGAGCCGGGGATCGAACAAACAACCTTCCAATTAAGGAACGACCCGCTCTGCCTCTGAGCCACAGCCGCTGCCACTCTTCTAGTGTGTGTGTGATATTGTTTTTCCACAAAAAAGTCCAATGAACTTTGATTAATATTAATTATGGAAATGTTTTTAATTTCAAAATGCTAACTGCTGGACACGATGTCGCCTACATTCTCAGTGGATATGCACTGGTGGCTTTAGCTTTCTACATCACACTGTACAAGGTGATGTCACAAAATTCTGCTAATACCTACACGTTCAACATATGTAGAGTTCATGCAGATGAATGTGAAAACAGCCCTCTAATGGTAAACTCTCCATATACAACTTCAAACCTCCAGTGGAGCGCTGTCATCACAGCGATGGCATCTCTTTGCACCAGACAGTGATTTTCCTGGTAAATACCAGATAATGGAAACCCTATTTAATGCTCTAAAACAGGCCTGGACTTGAGAAGGTACTGCTGCAGCTGCTAACCACACATTCCTCATCACTCCTCCAGGTGACTTTGACCAGAAGCCTTACGTGTCTGGAGATGCCGACTGCTCGATAACCCAGCTGGTGGGGGACGAAGACTACGTGCTTCTTGCGTGCGATGGCTTCTTTGATGCAGTCAAACCTTCAGAGGTTCCACATCTAGTCCTGGATGCACTCCAGCCACCTGGTGACCCCGAGGGCGGGGGAGAGGCTCTGCTGGAACAGTCAGAGCAGGTTGTTGGACTGAGAGTCGCTCAACAGTTGGTAGGTCACGCTAAGGCAGCCGGTTCTAGTGATAACATCACAGTTATTGTGGTGTTCCTGCGTCCACCTGAGCAGCTGCTGGCTCAAGACTCCACTACAGGAACTGCACAAGCTACTGGGGACTCCACTTCACAAGATGCACCTCAGCAGTGAAGGTGGAGATCTGACACCACTGTGCCAAGCTACTGCATAACTCAGCCTGTTTTCACCACCTCACCATGAGTATCCATCACTGTTCTTGTATTACAGTGCAGAGCTAATTAGTCTATTGTATTTTCTAACAGTGTATTACACTTTTAACGTTTCAAGAGAAGTTTGAAGATGAGGACTGATGAGCTGGAGTTACTGGAGTGTAAACTTCCCCAGATCCAATAAATATCAGGACAGAGCAACTTAAGGTTAGCCTAAATTCTGTTCCAGATCTGCTCGCAGTCCTGCATTTACAGATGTCATTGGAATGTGTACGGGTGTCGTGTGTTCGTACCACAGTACATCCTTCCCGATCTGTACCGCGCATGTCCAACTCTCAACAGAAATTAGGAGGAAATGAGATGGCTAGATTAGTTACTTCCAAAGAACAATGTGTTACAATGCTTTATTTAATGTTATGTAAATTGTCTTCTCAGTATTAGCTGAGGGAACATTAATACATTTACAGAACCTCTGCTAACATTGGCTAAGTTATCTGAAGACTGTGCTTGTCACTATACTATATGCTCTATGTATGTCTCACACATAAATGCTTACAGATATTATGTACATGCAAGTCACCATATTTATTCAAACCACATACCTCTTCCAACTGCATCCAGAGGAAGATAAAAATTGTTTTAAAAAAGTCTTAATAGCATGCTGAATTAAAGTGTCATTTTTCCAGAGCCATTGATGGAAGTAGCTAATAAGTGAGCCATATCTTTTCCTTGGCATCTCTGCTGAGACTTGCACATGCTCAGTACTGATTGGACAGGATGTACGAATCAGGCATTATAGCCAATCATAATGTGTTCATGTGTTACATCATCTGTGAACGCAGGACCCCAAGCAGATCTGCTACCTACACCACTCCATACCATGGACTGGCACAGCGGGGCTTTTTTTAACACAACTTGCTAAATAATGTAATCAACTAATAATGTGCTAACTGTTACTGTTGAATCTACTGTGAGGTTACTACTTTCAGTAGCAGGCCTGTTAGCTAGCAGATAAACATAGGGTTTAATCAGTCACACTCACACTCATCTTCTCACTTATGCTCTTATGTTTTTTGGTTTGGAAGGTTGCTAAGCTATGATTGGGAAGTCTCTGTTTGTGGAAGGGTTTTAGCAAAAGGTCAATTCAAACCACTAATGGTTTTAATATAGCTAAAAAATCAGTTGTATTTTAATTAAAAAAGTATTCAGAAGTGATTACATTTCACAAATAGCTTCATTGGCTAAGATAAGTGTAAGATAAACCTTTACAGCTTTCCTTTGGTTCCATGGTCTCTGTGCCGGAAAGAAAAGCTAGCCTCCTCTTGACCTCTGTGTAGTTATCACAAGTCTGTTACTTTTTTTGGTCTTTATGCTCTGTGTCAGTATTTTTTGTGGAGCTTAGTTTTCATACATCATATCTCATTCATATGTTCTCTATGCATCATCAGTATTAAATGTCTTAAAGTGAACATTGCAAACATGCAAAAAAAAACCTCACTAAGTCAGGTTCTGCAGTGGGATTGGATTCACTCTGACATCAGTAATGGGGCTTCATTTGAGGGATTTTGCCGGAGCAACTGTAACTGTGCCTTTACCAGTCACTACTCAATGAAATGCCTTGGGAATCTCTAATTCTGTGGTGTGCTGCAGTGTTATATTGTATTATTATAGAAACTGTTGCCAACTGCAGTCTAGAAAATGCATATCAGCCTTCAGGAACTGATATCAGTCGATCTGTAATACCAAGCACTGTGACTATTGAAAGTATTTGATGCTGGGGATCTTGCAGGAAATGACTTGGATTAAGTTAGTAAATCTTCCAGTTGGCTCCGAGCTGTAACTGTGACATTCTGTAGTGAAAAGATGTTTTGAATATTTGACTACAGTACCTACTAAGAACAAAACGACCAGACAGAGGTATAGTCAGTATTTCTGTTTTGAATGAGTGCTAGTGTGCCAAAACTACCTACGTGATCTTGGCATGCTCAGGTAAGAGAGAATTGATTTGCTGAATCACAAACTCCGACAGTATTTCTGACTCCTGTGTTTAATTTTTGGAATACCTTTAATTAAGAGTTATTCATCATGTCCTATTGAGAACATTAATATCAGCTGTACTGATTTTGGCATGTAATAAATAATATTCTGTTTCGCTGACAAGATACTATAGTCTGCTTTTTTATGTCATATTTAGTATCAATGGCTGAATTTAAATCAGTGTGAATGGAAAATTATGAGGGTGTGCCCTAATAGTTTGAAGCATGTGAATAGATCTAAATCCATAAAAGGAAGTTCATTTTTGTTTGCAAAGCTACGGTTATTGAGCTATTAAGTCTAAAGAACAAAAAACTTGCATACACTTTAAAAAATATGTTTCAACATAACAAAACAAGATTATAAAGCAGAGATTAAAGTTAAATGTACTACAATGATGTTTTAACTGGTTAAGAAACATTCAATACAGATGGCTCTACATGACCTGAATAAACAAACAAGAATCAGTGAGAAGAACAGCTGTTTCTTTGTAGTTATTCTTAATGCCTTCACAGTCGGATTAAATGGGGTAGAAATAATACTGCTTTTGTGCACATGGGCCTCCAGAATCAACACAAAAATAAAAGTTCCTTGTAAGGGCTTTAATGAAGAAACTATGTTGGATATATTTTATTATTATTTGTTTTATATTAATAAGGAATAATAAAGACCCAAGAACAGACACCACGTAAATGCAATGGTTTGTCTTCCACATCATGTAGTTATTTAAATGAAGTTAATAAGAAAGCCAGGGCACATTACCAGTTAACATATAATTCTTGTTGTGATATAAAATGATCTTCTATGCAGCAGTACAATGAGTTCTAGTCTAGTCAGATACTAATGACAAGATAAGATAGACTTTATTGATCCTACACTGAAAAATCTACTTCTTACAGCAGCTCCAGATAGGCAGATAAGAAAAAAAGAAATACACAATAAAATTGTGTACTTTACTTATTCACTGAATATGAGATCAGATGATCACAAGATAAGAGAGATTTATGAAAAAGGAGGTGTAGGCTGCTAGAGCACACAGGTGATAAGCTCTCAAGTGAGGAAATAGAATATTTGCAGTTCTCATAATCCATATATTTATATAAAACATACACATAATACATACATATATAGAACTATACCAGACGCCAAGATGGCACCTATTGAATCCAATAAGCATTGCTAACCTGGTGCATATGCCAAAAATGTTTTCTAGCTTCCGGTTTTACATCCTGGTTATGCAGCTCACTTGCCTGGTCTTGCCTGAGAGTTCCTTCTCGGCCCATAGACTTTACATTGTGATGGTGTCACAGATCAAATTGCTTTACAAATACACATCCTCCATGGATTAAACACTCATAATAGAAAGAGTCATAATTGACCTTGTTTGCAGATTGTGGTGTCCTGTAAACAGTTATACAGATGCCTGTTATATAATGACGGTATATGTTTTTTTCATATAAATTTTCTGTGCAATACCTCGAGTGGCACGAGGGCTTGAAGATCCAATCATCACTAAAGCATATGTCACCCAAGGGAGCCAGTAAAAACAAACCGAATGGTCGAAGTTGCAATAATGACATTGAAGGTGTGTTGATTGATTCACAATGTCAACTAATGCACTGAGAAACATGCAAGGCAACTTCCTACCTCAATAACCTTTGAGCAGCACAGTGAATTAGATGTTAACTAGTGACAATGAAAATGCAGCAAAGCATCCTTTTATTCCTATTCTTATTCCTCTGACAGTTTCTTTATCTGTAATGCAAAGAACACAATAAGCCAGCCTGTTAATGGGAGTGTGTAGGGTTCAGTAGCATCTAATGGTGAAGATACATATTACAACCAACTGAATACCGCTTGCCTTGCAAGTGTGTAGGAGAAACTACAGTGGTTGCTATTGAGAACCAGTGTTTGGTTTTTACATTCTGGGCTACTGTGCAAACATGACGGTTCAATGTGGCGGCATTTGTGGAAGAGGACCCGCTCCCTCTGCAGATACTCCTCCCTAAAGCTCTTGTGTCTGGATAGAAGCAAATCTCTGCAACCAGGTACCATCATCTTGGCTGATTTCTGGGCACATTAATGTGTTTTTAATGACAGGCTCAACTATTAGAATGTGGGTGGGATGTTTGGGTGTCCACATACTTTTGGTCATACATATAGACTGCAGACTACATTATACTGACTGTTGAATGTGAGCATAGGTTCAGTGTGGGTTATGTTAACATGTAAAACACAGAGCACAGAAAGTCCCATCAGGTGTTTTATTAAAAAGTATATACAGATTATTTACTCCATATGTACACGTGAAGACAGTTTAAGTTAAGAGAACGCAAACAGAAGACTGGCCACTGACAACATTTTGATCACTTATTGTATTTACATGATAAAGGTAACGGTGATGAACAACTCCTTCTATGACAACAGCAGTATTTGACTTCCTCTTCAGTGCAGAGACTTACAGCCTGGATGTTGTGTAGAGTCTTGTTGAGCTTGAAGCCGTCGTTGTGCTCACGGCTCCATTCTTCTTCTGCCTGAATCAACATATGACACTATTAGTAAAAAGCACTGCAGATCTGAATCAGTGACAGTATTCACTGTGTTATTTTGTCTGTAGTTGGTGCAGTCCAGCTGATCTTACTTGTTCATGTTATTCAGAATGAGTTTTCCAAGTTTAGACTTTGGATCCACACATTTGTCCTTATTTGCTGTTGTTGTAATACTGGGAGAGAAGAAAGAGCTTTGTTAGAGAGAGGCTGGACAATGACATGTCAGTAAATGTGACTTAATCCAGCTCATATACTCACATAATCTCTGTATGTGGACAGAAGATATTTGGGAGGTGTACAGCCCGTACTGCCTTGATGGACTGTGGCCTGATGTGCTCGATGTAACCGTCTAAACACTTGCACTTATTAGATCTGTTGGCTGGTAGCCCTGTGGGAAGAAAGACACAACCTTATTATCTGTTGGTCATCTTTCAAATCAGTGCGCAGACTTCAGAATGAACATGTATCAGTGTTTTATGAGAGGCAGGCTGCTCTGGAGGCAGAACTATTGTCACTGGTTGAATTCAACTTCAGTGGACAGAGATAAAAGGTTAGACGTAATTTTGTAACAAAGCCTCTTGCTTATAACTGAAAAAAGGTATTCTGGAGTATATGTAATAATTTTCTTGGTATTACAATAGTGTGCTATTTGGTTTCTGTAATTTCCTCAGATCTAAAGACAAACTTTAATGATATTATTAGCCAAATATCATACATTTTAAAGTCAACAATATTGACTATAGAATATTCATTTGTTTAAATCAACAGTCCCCCAGCTGTCTCTTCTTTTTGTCTCTATCACTGTTTAAATCAATGTCATGGACTATTTACCTTCATTTTTATTTATTCAAACTCAGCAAAACAGTCCATATGAACATACAGTGAGAGGAAAGGTGAGCATATTGAGATTGAAGATGAAGGACAACATAATCACAGAACACTAAACTGTTGACAGTACCTTGTGCACTGAAGACAAACAGGCAGGTGAGAAAGGCAATGGCAGCTGGATTCATGGTTGTGGCTGTAGACAGGTTCTGGCTCACTCTCCTCTGTGTCTTTCTTCAGGCTGGACTCCTGATGGTGTACAGCAACAAGAGATCATTCTCTCTTTTATACTCTGAGCCCACACACTGACACAGGGCTGCTGTGCAATGTGACACAATAGTTTCACTTTCCAGTAAACTTTCACACTATTCGTCCCTTCCTTTTTCTTCTGACAAGCCGGTTTCTTGGAAACACAAGTTCTTCTTCTGCAGAAGCTTTGGATAAGACAGTCAGTTGTGATATTGTATATATTGGCATGCATGGCTCAAAGGAAGTTTTCCAAATGTAAAACCTTCATGGATCAAATATTCATAGTAGAGTCATAATTGACCTTGTTTGCAGTTTGAAGTGTCAACTGCTTTACAGACAGTCTGTTTTATAATGGTGGTCTATGGGGGAAATGCTTTATGGGCTGCAGGGAAATTGTAGAAACAGAGACACTTCTCCTACAAAAGCTTTGGCTCAAAGAATCATTTATTCTACAGAATGGCTTCTGTGTTATATTGTATTGGCCTACATGAGGGCAGAGGATGCAATTTCATTGTATTTGCAGAGATTATTATTTTTCCCATTTTGCAACACATTTCTGATTTTTGAAAATTCATGAAAATGGGCACAGACATCAGAACTAGTGAAAATTGGTCTCTATGGCAACCCCAAACACACGCCAGTGTTGGGATAAAGTTGCTTTGATATTCACAAAATGTTGGTGGGATCGAATGGGATTGAAATACGTCTATTATTAGGAACTTATTTACATTTTTCTTACGAGAGTTTGCCAGAAAGGAAGTCATCCATTTTGGATTTTGTGCATGAATTTTAATTTTCTAAACATGTTTGAGGCCTTCAGGATTTTCAAAACCTATTGGGAAACTTGCACTCATGTTTGAACTGGTGAATATTTATATTTTGCAGATATTGCAGTTGGGTTTGAGGAATGGCACGTCGGCTCCATAGCGCCCCCTAGACTGTTAACCTTTAAATACACGTTTGACGCACTGAGACTCACGTAATCTGGTATAAACATCAAGAGTGGCAAGAATTCCTATCTGATATTGGTCTTGGGCAAAGATTTGGCAAAATGGCTCGATAGCACCCCCTATAAAATTTCAATTTAGTATCTCAAGCTGTAGATGTACTAAATTTGGTGGGCACATTAATCATTTCCAGACAAATAAAATAGCCTTTACAGGAAAGAAATTACAGGGAAGGATTAAAAGATTAGCACAACTCTGTGTAGCAGAAATATGTTTTTCTGCCTCCCTCTCCTGTTAATCACCTCACAACCCTCAGATCAGGACACAAAGGTTGCAATCCTTTTAAGACAAAGAAAAACAGCCCAAGATCATAAATACAGGGATCATATTGTGACACAGCTAGAACTGTATTATATCATATATTAACATAAATACAGCTTGATATAGTAATCAGATATTGCTGAAGTTGGCTTCAAACCAAGTGAAGGTGAATTATTTCTCTGTTTAACCAAGTCAGTGGAAAATAATCCAATTTGTGCTGAATGGGCTTAATGAATGCAGTTATTTCAGTTTCAGTTTTGAATGTCTTCCCTTGATATTTCCTCTTCTGTGTTTGTGTGTGATTTGAAGGAAATCCCCCAAATCAGACATGACTTGCTCAACAGGACGTTGTAAACATAGACACGTGTGTGGATGAGTGTGAGTCCCATTTGTGATGCAACAGCCCGGATGATGTCACAGCCTCTAACAGCCACCATACTGGTGTTCAGAAAACATGCTGTTCTCAGTGTAAATGCTTTAAAACTGACTGCTGGTGTAGCTAGTCTCATGTGAGGTAGTCTTATAGTAAATTTGCACTACGCTTTTGTTCATGCTGTGTAAAAACACAGCATGAACACAAGATGCACCAAACCATTGCGGAATGGTTAAACTTGGAGCCCACTGAGTTTCCAAGGCTTTGCAGTGATCATGTTATAAATGATGACTTTCATCAGTTATACAGTGTGTGTGTGTGTAAGGGTGCATTGTATTGCTTATTATAGTATAGTCCAGTTTTACTTCTGGAGGCATGTTCTGAATTAACTTTACTTATGTAATGCAGTGCCAGCATGTGTTCCCTTTTTAATTTCTTTAGCATTGCCCTTAAGATTTCCTGAGAAACTTGATGTGAAACTAATAGTTTGAGGGAAAGTCCCTCCCTCAATGTGCACCCTAACCCCTCTGCAATGACACCTTGCAGTACAGGTTATGTAGATAATCATGTGAACTCATTGGCAAAAACAAGTGAAAGTCAAAACCAGATCGAAACAGGCAAACTTCCCCAAAAAGGGGTTTGGCACAGAGGCAGAAGTCCAAAGAGCAGGCAGGGGATCATGCAGGATAGAGACAAGAGCTGATACCACTGTACAGAGGAGCACAATCAAATGCCTCAATGTCCGGACATCACAGCACTTGCTCACTTGCTGGTTTAACAGGCACATTCATGGTGTTACACCATATTACATGTCCATACGAAGCTTCCTGTTGCACGGATGCTCTCAGACTTCTCACAGTTGAGTAAGTCAACAATGTGCAGAGTGCATGAGCTGAAACCTGCGCAAGTGCATTATGCAAACTGAGTAAACCACAGTCCTTTAAAGTAGCTGTAATTAAACCCCTTCCTAAAAAGCCCACTCTTGACCCAAGGGTTTTAGCCAACTATAGACCGATTTCTAACCTACCCTTCCTCTTTAAGATTCTGGAGAAAGTAGTCGCCAAACAGTTGTGTGACTTTCTACATAGCAATAGCTTATTTGAGGATTTTCAGTCAGGATTTAGAGTTCATCACAGCACAGAGAAAGCTCTGGATAAAGTTAATAATGACCTTCTGATTGCTTCCGACAATGGACTTGTGTCTGTACTTGTATTATTAGATCTTAGTGCTGCATTTGACACCATTGACCATAATATTCTTTTACAGAGACTTCAGCATCAAATTGGCATCAAAGGAACCACACTAAGCTGGTGTAAGTCATACTTATCAGATCGTTCTCAGTTTGCACACGTTAACGATGAATCCTCCATAAATACTAAAGTTAGTCATGGAGTTCAATAAGGTTCTGTATTTGGACCAATTCTATTCACTTTATATATGCTTCCCTTAGGCAATATTATTAGGAATCATTCCATTAACTTTCACTTTTATGCAGATGATACCCAGTTATACCTGTCGATCAAGCCCGATGAAATTAATCAGTTATCTAAGTTACAAATATGTCTTAAGGACATACAAACCTGGATGAGCTGCAATTTTCTGATGCTAAACTCAGAAAAAAACTAAATTCTTGTAGATATAAATACTAAGATATAGTTACTCTAGATTACCTTGGCCTCTAGCACCACTGTCAGGAATCTTGGAGTTATCTTTGATCAGGACTTCTCCTTTAATTCCCACATAAAGCAAACCTCTAGGACTGCCTTTTTTAATCTACGTAATATTACAAAAATTGGACACATCCTATCACAGGCGGATGCAAAAAAAGTAATCCATGCATTTGTTACTTCTAGGCTGGATTACTGCAATTCCTTATTATCAGGTTGCCCCAATAAGTCCATTAAGACGCTCCAATTAATTCAGAATGCTGCAGCACGAGTACTGACAGGAACTATGAAAAGAGATCACATCTCTCCTGTTCCAGCTTCTCTGCACTGGCTCCCTGTAAAATTCAGAATAGAATTTAAAATCCTCCTCCTCACCTATAAAGCTCTTTATGGTCAGGCCCCTTCATATCTTAAAGAGCTCATAGTACCCTATTACCCCTCTAGAACACTGTGTTCTCTGAATGCAGGGCTACTTGTGGTTCCTATAGTCTCTAATAGTAGAACAGGAGCCAGAGCCTTCAGTTACCAAGCTCCTCTCCTGTGGAACCAGCTTCCATTTGTGGTTCGGGAGGCAGACACCCTCTCCACATTTAAGAGTAGGCTTAAGACATTCCTCTTTGATAAAGCTTATAGTTAGGTCTGACTCAGGTGAGTCCTGAACCATCCCTTAGTTATGCTGCTATAGGCCTAGACTATCGGGGGAATTTCCCCTGATGCACTGAGCTCCTCTCTTGCTCTTTCTCTCTTTTTGCACACAATCATTCCCTATTAATGCATGTTACTAACTTCACTTTTTCTCCGGAGTTCTTGTGTTTTCTCATCTCGCAGGTTCTCATGGATCCTGGTGGAGCCTCCTGCCATGGTCCTGCTTGCCTCCCATTGCTAATATCACTGATATTAGTGTTATATTATTATTATCACTATTGTTAGTAGTACAGTTACTATTATTACTATAATCACTGCTCATTGTCCCCCATCGTTGTCGTTGTTGTCGTCATCATCTTCTTCATGTTCATCATCATCAGTCACTACTATTAGTGTAGTCGTTGCTACTGTTGTTGCTGTGCACGTTTGTCTCTGTCCTTCTGTTGTTACCTCTGTTCTGTCTCTCTCTGTCTCTCTCTCTCACCCCAACTGGTCGAGGCAGACTACCACCCACCTAGAGCCGAGGGGTCTGTCCGAGGTTTCTGCCTCTTAAAAGGAAGTTTTTCCTTAAACTATACTATAGCTGGCTGTCGTAGTGTTTCTTGCTGGAAAAACATTAACAAATATTTTCTTTGTAATGTGACTCTAGGAGCAAATAGAGCTGCAATATGATAATAAATTAACAAGTTCAAAGCAGCAGGATAATATATGACATCCAGACCGTTTGGTCAAACACACAGAGAGGGTGAACTAACGAATGTTAAAATGAAGGCTATGGCTCATCTTCACATCATGTCAGTGAAGTTACTGAGATAGCCTGTGACATAAGTGGACTGTACCAGTTAAAACTGCAGTAGGGGACGTCTATGAAAATAACTTTTTTGACACATTTCCTGAAACTCACTATATCCTGACAGTAGTACATGAGACAGATGATCTGTGAGAAACTTTGGTTCCTCTGGCTCCTCCTGCTGCTGCTAATGGCATCTGCAAGAATCCACCGGGCCTTAATAAACACAACCCATCAGAGCTGAGAAAGATTTGTTGTTGATTGTTGAGTCTGATTCTCAGGTCGACAAATACAGAAGGTCAGTCAGCCAGCATCAGTGTTTGACCTCCCTGATGCTCTTGTGTCTGGATAGAAGCAAATCTCTGCAACCAGGTACCATCATCTTGGCTGATTTCTGGGCACATTAATGTGTTTTTAATGACAGGCTTAACTATTAGAATGTGGGTGGGATGTTTGGGTGTCCACATACTTTTGGTCATACATATAGACTGCAGACTACATTATACTGACTGTTGAATGTGAGCATAGGTTCAGTGTGGGTTATGTTAACATGTAAAACACAGAGCACAGAAAGTCCCATCAGGTGTTTTATTAAAAAGTATATACAGATTATTTACTCCATATGTACACGTGTAGACAGTTTAAGTTAAGAGAACGCAAACAGAAGACTGGCCACTGACAACATTTTGATCACTTATTGTATTTACATGATAAAGGTAATCAGAATCAGAACACATACTTTAATAATCCCAGGGGGAAATTACTTTTGTTACATACTCCATATGAAATAGACATACATATATTAATAATATATATATAGTTTAATTTAAAGTCCCACTTTCTAATGTGCAAAAATGGCAAGTGTAAAGTGGTCGCCGGCTTCCTCTTCACCAGAGGCACATAGCAGGATGTTGGGTTTGCAGAGGGAGGGATGTACGACACCGATGATGACGTGCGGGATCTCTCTCGGTAGATGATATGGACGGAGTCCAACGGTGATGAACAACTCCTTCTATGACAACAGCAGTATTTGACTTCCTCTTCAGTGCAGAGACTTACAGCCTGGATGTTGTGTAGAGTCTTGTTGAGCTTGAAGCCGTCGTTGTGCTCATGGCTCCATTCTTCTTCTGCCTGAATCAACATATGACACTATTAGTAAAAAGCACTGCAGATCTGAATCAGTGACAGTATTCACTGTGTTATTTTGTCTGTAGTTGGTGCAGTTCAGCTGATCTTACTTGTTCATGTTATTCAGAATGAGTTTTCCGATTTTAGACTTTGGATCCACACATTTGTCCTTATTTGCTGTTGTTGTAATACTGGGAGAGAAGAAAGAGCTTTGTTAGAGAGAAGCTGGACAATGACATGTCAGTAAATGTGACTTAATCCAGCTCATATACTCACATAATCTCTGTATGTAGACAGAAGATATTTGGGAGGTGTACAGCCCGTACTGCCTTGATGGACTGTGGCCTGATGTGTTCGATGTAACCGTCTAAACACTTGCACTTATTAGATCTGTTGGCTGGTAGCCCTGTGGGAAGAAAGACACAACCTTATTATCTGTTGGTCATCTTTCAAATCAGTGCGCAGACTTCAGAATGAACATGTATCAGTGTTTTATGAGAGGCAGGCTGGTCTGGAGGCAGAACTATTATCACTGGTTGAATTCAACTTCAGTGGACAGAGATAAAAGTTAGACGTAATTTTGTAACAAAGCCTCTTGCTTATAACTGAAAAAAGGTATTCTGGAGTATATGTAATAATTTTCTTGGTATTACAATAGTGTGCTATTTGGTTTCTGTAATTTCCTCAGATCTAAAGACAAACTTTAATGATTTTATTAGCCAAATATCATACATTTTAAAGTCAACAATATTGACTATTGAATGTTCATTTGTTTAAATCAACAGTCCCCCAGCTGTCTCTTCTTTTTGTCTCTATCACTGTTTAAATCAATGTCATGGACTATTTACCTTCATTTTTATTTATTCAAACTCAGCAAAACAGTCCATATGAACATACAGTGAGAGGAAAGGTGAGCATATTGAGATTGAAGATAACAACAACAACATAATCACAGAACACTAAACTGTTGACAGTACCTTGTGCACTGAAGACAAACAGGCAGGTGAGAAAGGCAATGGCAGCTGGATTCATGGTTGTGGCTGTAGAGAGGTTCTGGCTCACTCTCCTCTGTGTCTTTCTTCAGGCTGGACTCCTGATGGTGTACAGCAACAAGGGATCACTCTCTCTTTTATACTCTGAGCCCACACACTGACACAGGGCTGCTGTGCAATGTGACACAATAGTTTCACTTTCCAGTAAACTTTCACACTATTCGTCCCTTCCTTTTTCTTCCGACAAGCCGGTTTCTTGGAAACACAAGTTCTTCTTCTGCAGAAGCTTTGGATAAGACAGTCAGTTGTGATATTGTATATATTGGCATGCATGGCTCAAAGGAAGTTTTCCAAATGTAAAACCTTCATGGATCAAATATTCATAGTAGAGTCATAATTGACCTTGTTTGCAGTTTGAAGTGTCAACTGCTTTACAGACAGTCTGTTTTATAATGGTGGTCTATGGGGGAAATGCTTTATGGGCTGCAGGGAAATTGTAGAAACAGAGACACTTCTCCTGCAAAAGCTTTGGCTCAAAGAATCATTTATTCTACAGAATGGCTTCTGTGTTATATTGTATTGGCCTACATGAGGGCAGAGGATGCAATTTCATTGTATTTGCAGAGATTATTATTTTTCACATTTTGCAACACATTTCTGATTTTTGAAAATTGAATTTAAATTTTCGAAACACGTTGGAGGCCTTCAGGATTTTCAAAACCTCATGGGAAACTTGCACTCATGTTTGAACTGGTGAATATTTATATTTTGCAGATTTTGCAGTTGGGTTTGAGGAATGGCACTTCGGCTCCATAGCGCCCCCTAGACTGTTAACCTTTAAATACACGTTTGACGCACTGAGACTCACGTAATCTGGTATAAACATCAAGAGTGGCAAGAATTCCTATTGTATAGGTTATGTAGATAATCATGTGAACTCATTGGCTAAAACAAGTGAAAGTCAAAACCAGATCGAAACAGGCAAACTTCCCCATTGGGCAAAGATTTGGCAAAATGGCTCGATAGCACCCCCTATACAATTTCAACTTAGTATCTCTCGCGGTAGATGTACTAAATTTGGTGGGCACATTAATCATTTCCAGACAAATAAAATAGCCTTTACAGGAAATAAATTACAGGGAAGGATTAAAAGATCAGCACAACTCTGTGTAGCAGAAATATGTTTTTCTGCCTCCCTCTCCAGATCAGGACACAAAGGTTGCAATCCTTTTAAGATAAAGAAAAACAGCCCAAGATCATAAATACAGGGATCATATTGTGACACAGCTAGAACTGTATTATATCATATATTAACATAAATACAGCTCGATATAGTAATCAGATATTGCTGAAGTTGGCTTCAAACCAAGTGAAGGTGAATTATTTCTCAGTTTAACCAAATCAGTGGAAAATAATCCAATTTGTGCTGAATGGGCTTAATGAATGCAGTTATTTCAGTTTCAGTTTTGAATGTCTTCCCTTGATATTTCCTCTTCTGTGTTTGTGTGTGATTTAAAGGAAATCCCCCAAATCAGACATGACTTGCTCAACAGGCCTAGGCTGGATTGCTGCAATTCCTTATTATCAGGTTGCCCAATAAGTCCATTAAGACGCTCCAATTAATTCAGAATGCTGCAGCACGAGTACTGACAGGAACTATGAAAAGAGATCACATCTCTCCTGTTCTAGCTTCTTTGCACTGGCTCCCTGTAAAATTCAGAATAAAATTTAAAATCCTCTTCCTCACCTGCAAAGCTCTTTATGGTCAGGCCCCTTCATATCTTAAAGATCCAGATCATAGTTATTCTGCTATAGGCCTAGACTATCAGGGAATTTCCCATGATGCAATGAGCTCCTCTCTTCCTCTTTCTCTCTTTCTGCACACATTCATGCCCTATTAATGCATGTTACTAACTTCACTTTTTCTGGTAGATTCAGTTTCTTTGTTTCAGCCACTGCAGATGCCCAACCTCCCCCTTCCTAACACAAGATGCCAGGTCCTTTTGTGTTTTGTAGATTGTGATGTCTGGACTTGGCTTTGAACCTCAATGCAAGATCCTGCAGGACACCTCATATGTAAAACACACCAGCAGGGGGTCGGCCCTGATGTCTGCAGTGGGCAGAGGGGTGGGAAAGCACTTCCTGGAGGGCCAGACCCCTACAGCAGACAAAGGGGTGTGAAAGAGGTGGTCCTCAGGTATAAATGTGTAGATATCCCCATGTTCGGGGTCTTTCTTCATCTTTGACCACTCGCATGTTGATTGACCTTTTCTTTGCAAAGAAAATAAACTTGTCGGCCGGCAGAAGTTCTCTATTTCATTCTTCACCAGCAGCAGAGAAATTGCCACAACAATTTGATGTCAGAAGTGGGATCCCTCGAGCGATCATCTGGGACGGGACGCGGACAGTGACAGGCCACCCTGGAGGAAAAACGTTTCAGCCTCCAACCTCAAAATCCTCTTCTGAGAAGGGAGGACTGACCGCAAACGCCCGGATCGTCGCCGCTGGGATTTACACAAACGCAATTCAACTAAATTCATCTGGTGAGCACTGAAATATTGACATTTCAATTTCTTTTCTTTAAATTTTGGGTTTAAAATTGGCTAAATATTTCCGTTTCTCACATATCCACAATCGATCTGCTTTTTGTTACTTATAGCCTTAAACGAAGTAACCAGGTCTTTGTTGCTTGTTCCTTAAAAGCAATCAGGTTTTTAAATCACTTGTAACCATAAACAAAGTGATTTGCTTTTTTTTTCACTTGTAGCACAGACAAAGTGATCAGGTCTTTGTTGCCTTAAACAGGTCTTTGTTGCTTGTTCCTTAAACGAAGTAACCAGGTCTTTATCACTTGTATCCTTAAACGAAGTGACCCTTTACAGATACGTCTTTACTGTAATAGTTGTGCACGAGCTCCATTTGGAATGGGGAGTAAAAGCTCTGCCGAGGTTGGACCTCCGGAGGGGGCGATTGTGGATGTTATGAGAAGGAAATATGGGGATAAAAGTTTAAAATATTTAAATGTCTGGACAGCTGAGTTTGGATTCCCAATAGGGGGATCCCTCAGTTTAAAAAACATATCGATATTAGAAGAAAAACTGAAGGGAAAAGAACAAAAAATAAGAAGGAAAAATAAGGTTTCTGTAAGAAAATTAGAAAATATGGAAGGTCAAAGAGAATGTTTTCAGATGTGGAAAGGGGAAGCAGAGACACGAGATAGGAAAACAATGCTGAAACAACTCCCTTTTCCATGTGAAAAAGTTGAAACCAATGAAAAGCAAATTTCACACACACAAAGAACACCAGACTCGCAGACTTCTTCTTTGTTTCCACAGTTGGCGGTTTTGAAGCTGGATCCAGACCTTGACGGCAACCCACCTATTCATCCTTCAGCTCCACCACCATACAACACAGTGACACCCAGCAAAAGAAGGGAAGCAGACTCCGCCATGCTACAACAAAAAACAAGTTCAGGAGCAGCTCATTGTGCCCCTGATGTGTCCGTTCCACCACAGAACCCTACAACCAACCCCCCTTCTCCAATAGCACATAGACTGCGTTATCCAAATCAAGATGCAGCCTTCAACATGCCCATGGTTAAAGTATCTGGACCAGAAGGTGCAACGTTGGTTTTCCGCCCATGGACTTCTGCTGACATCACAGCAGCCTCACAACATCTGCCCAACCCCACAACATCAGGTAAAATGTTTGCTGAGCAATTCTCCACATTTTGCCAAGAATTCAAACCCACCATAAATGAACTAAAAAGACTCCTGATCACCAAGATGAAACCCACAGATTGGCAAAAAATAGCTGGGAAATTCCCACATGCTGACATTCATTGTAAGCACATCACCTGGGAACATGAGTCTAATGCCCATTATAGAGATGTTGTCCGCCTTCTCTGTGATGCATTCACTCAAGCTTTTCCTGTAAAAGTTAACATGGAGAAAATCACTGCCTGCAAGCAGAAGGATGATGAAAACCCTGATGAATATCTCACTTGCCTGACAGAGGTATTCAACACCTACAGTGGCCTTCAACCACCTGATGGATTAAACAATATTCCAGATGTGTGGGAAATTCCTCTTTGTAACTGTTTCTTAAAATGACTAAAACCAGACATTGCCTCAGCTGTTAAAAGTTCCTGCATTGGATGGGATGATGCACACCTGTCCGAACTTCGCAGACACGCCATACATGCCCATCTCAAAGAAAAAGAAGAAACAACACAGAAAGAGCTTCACATGGCAGCAATAACCATGTATAACACAATCCGAGAACATGGACAACCAGATCATACACATAGAGGAAAAGATAACCGACACAGGCACTGGAAAGATAAAATTGCAAAGGATGTTTGTTTCCTGTGTGGTCAACATGGACATTGGAAACGCTGAGTGTCACAAAAATACCTCATCGACCCCCGGTGGACAAGTCGGACTGAAAATGGGAAAGGGTTGTCGGAGAGGGATGGACTCCTGCTGACAAGCCAAACCAACTTGTGAGATCGAGAGAAGGTACTGCACCACACTCACACACACATACTGAGCAGATTAATACACAATCTATAGAGAATTCAGACAACAGATATACAATTGCTCTAACATATGTTCAGTACACATCTGATCATTTCAAGAGGTTTCCACAACATACATTGACCATTGCAGAACAAAATGTTGCATTCTTAGTTGACTCAGGAGCCACACATTCTGTGATAAAAGCTTTAGAACTCACTACAAAACCAAAAATGAGTGGAGATTATGTGTACTCTGTTGGTTCATCAGGTCAAACAGTTAGAGAGAACATTACTGTCCCACTCAAATGTGCGGATGGGCCAGATATAAGCTTCAAACATGCATTCTTGCTCTCAAAAGTCTGTCCCATTAACCTGATGGGCAGGGACTTGATGTGCAAATTAGGCCTTTGTCTGATCTCAACCCCAGAAGCTGTCAAAGTTCACAGACTATCCGATCTGGAGCCAAATTTTTCACACTCTTTTATTCACCACATCCCAGACTTTAGACCTTGCAAGACTCAATATCCACTTAAACAAGAAGCCATCGATGGTATAACACCAGTCTTTGAGTCTCTTAAAGCAGCAGGAGTAATTATTCCCTGTGAT